ATAGATAGATAGATAGATAGATAGATAGATAGATAGATAGATAGATAGATAGATATAAAAAAGTTCAGTGACTCGAGGTAACGGCACTGGGGTTGTTAAACAAAACACAGCCAAATAAATCTCAGACACTCAGACAACAGAAAGTGAACAAATTACACTGAATAAGCACAACTTACGCATTTGCATCATGAGAATATAGCAAAGTCGAAATTGTCCAAGACAGCCACCCATAGTCGAGGAGAAAAGTGGTTGTCTTAGACAGGTGGCCATCTTGAACAGTGTCACTACAATAAAAGAAAAAATGCAAGGGAAGAAGTGGGAAGTGGTCGTCTGTACAGATGAATGTCTTGAACAGGTGGTTGTCAGAGAAAGTCTGACCGTACGTTACTTTCTAAGACACTGGGGGCAAAGTCGGTAAAGGTTAATTTGGGCACTCCCTTCTTATAATATGTAGTGGTAAGTGTCTTGCGAATAATGCCACAGCGACCCAAAATTAAATATTAGGGCCCCACTAGAGTGGAGAAACCTAGATAAGCGGAGTAGGTCAAATACATTATGTACTTTCCGAATAGAGGACCCCCCCTCTAACAAATAAAATAAAATCACAGACAATACGTAGGCCCGTACCATATCAGGAATGGTGACCTGCGAATCCTATGCCTGACTTATGTTTGAGAGTTACACAGCCCATGCTGGCTTAATAGGAGCATAGAACTTGTATTTATAGTTCGTGAGAGGGGCTTACCTTACAATCAAAGAGCCTGAGAAAACCGATGGAGCCCAGGGCCTGAATGACGCAAGAGTCCAGCTGTAACTGGTCATCGCTGCACAGGTTTAACTCAATGGCGTCGACACTTACGCACTGGACACGTGCAAGATAAAACAAAGGAGTGTCGTGACATAATTAATTATAACATAATTATTATATCCAAGTAACCTCAGCATGAAATGGCAATATGTATCAGTTCTGTGTGTGAGGGGGGGTTGGGGGGGGGGGGGGAGGGTTAAGTAAATTAAATATTTGCACCATTCAACCCGCTCTATCTGAACATGATAAGGAGCACGGGGTAAGGGTAGGCCACGGGAAACATGGAGGAGATGTGTGGAAAGGGACATGAGAGAGATGAAGCTCACTTGGAACGAGCTTGGAAGGATGGTCCAGGACAGAGATAAATGGAAGGAGCTTGTATGTGGCCTATACCCTGCCAGGGGTGAAAGGCATTGATGGTGATATCTGAACGTGACTGTGTTCTTTAAGTTTTCTCCCTCAATGTCTACGTCTCATTGACATGGAACCTGTTCTTGTTTGGCTACGTCATAGAAATACTATTCCCTATTTTACGTGGCCTGCCCACATCAAACTCATATATACCAAGTTGCAGAGTGGTTGGTGCGCTCATACCCACAATAAAGGCAAGCATTTCGGAGACACGGTTGTCAATGGGACGAATCCTTGAGCAAGACACGAAAAGCCTTGCTCAAAAACTTGGCGCCCCAACGGCAAGTGACAATGAATCGGTCAGCTGTTTAGATGGAGTACTAAGCCGCACATTTTTGTTATTTATTGGTTTTTATATTGCAGTTACTCGATCGGTGGTGTCGGTTGCATGTGCTCGAGAATATTTTGTCCAAACTCAAATTCTAAATGTTGAACAAAAGCAAGAAAAGATGTTCTAAAAGAAATAAACAGTTTGCTCTCTCTCTCTCTCTCTCTCTCTCTCTCTCTCTCTCTCTCTCTCTCTCTCTCTCTCTCTCTCTCTCTCTCCTGAAAAGGTTTGCTTCTTAGATTCAGAACAGTTGAAGAGCGTGCTGACGAATGGCTAATTTGACAGATTGTCTATATAAATATTGGTGTGGCACTGTGTATTATTCAAGCATCGACAGATCGGCCTTGAAAAATCTTGATCTCACTAGAATAAAAGGTGAAGAAAACCAGATGCAGACTGATAGTAAATTATTGTACAGGTAGGTGAACGACAAAAACAAGCGATGACAGTTTTCTGAGAGCATCTGAGAAGAGAAATAAGAGGCAAACCATGATTAAAATTTCAAAGTCTGTTTCAAATATGTCGATTACGATGATGGGGAGGAGGAGCAGGAATGTATTATGTGTACATATTGTAGCCCACTTGCTATTGTATAAAAAGATTTTATTTTTTAGACAATAAATTGTACACAAAAAGTAATGCCCAGCTCTCATTACACGACATACCACCAATGCATCCACACGACGCTTTGGGGTTTTTTCAGTTTGGGTTTTCATCGATCTACTATATTATATTATTTTGTATAGTCATGGGGGCCTACTTACATTTCTTAAAAATGACGCACGCCATTGCAATTTCAAGTGTCAAAAATTGTTCAAATATAAGAGAATCGATCTTTTGCCTTGTGGGTATAGACAATGATGTATTGATAACCTGTATTATCGATGTTTTTGCTATATTCGAGTATTGGCAATCTGAATTGTCATTGTCTGTGTCATATTGTGATAGAGTAGATGTATTGGTAATCTACACTGTTCATGTTTGAGTCAAATTGTGAGCGGATCTCAGGAGGGGAATCTGCCTGTTGTAATGCTATTTTCTACCATCTTACATTTTTTAAGCGCCGCCTGACCATTGCTCTTATCAAGCTATGTCTCTTGATGTTAAATCACAATTTTCAATCTCAACCTCTCAAGGTGCCAAACTAAAATCCAACTTAAGCTTGGAAATCGAAGAGTATAAACACTGATCGAGCAGTGGAAAACTAAACCTTTGAAAAAGAACAATGTGGACTAAGACAGGCAAAAGTTAAATAATAACAAATCCACCTTGCACAATTATGTCAAATTGTCAGAACTGGATGTTTTGTATGTTTTCTCGGCAACTAGTTTTTATGTTTGGAGTGTTCCTAGAATGGACAACCTAAAATTCTCTCGCATACCAAATGATCTGTTCGCCGAGTATGAGTCCTGTGCTGGCTTCTGTGGCGAGACCTTTTGCCGATACACACTAAAGACGTGAGTTGGATAACATCCATTCGGGAAAGTCTATATATTTATCGAGAATCTCTGTCCTTTCTTCGGGGGTACTGTATCCCATTCAGTTCCGGTTCGTCCTGACAGGCAAGGTCGAAGCAGCCCGCCTCCTTTATGGTTTAAAGTGCGTCGATGGTGACGTAAAGATTGCTATATATAGAATCGATCAATCCTAGGTTATTCTGATGGATCTACTACCTGTATAGTCATAGTCTTGAGAGCAGGCATTCCGATGAGGGCGATTTTACAAATGTGGTTGGCGGTGATGTAGATGTGGTTGATGGTGATGAGGTCGTTGTCGGCGTCCGTGTGGAAGAGTCGGAGGGTCGGGCTGCGTACGTGCACTGCCTCACACGCGAAGTCTCCCAGCATGCACAGCTCCTGGGGAGCGGAAGTATGGGCAGTGCGAGTGTGAGGATGGGGGGG